GAAATTCGGTTTTTGTTTTGTCATCGATGTTGTATAATTATCATGCCCGGCGGCAAAAATTCGGTTGAGAATCTTTTATTTTTCTGGTCAAAAAGAACTGCCGAGTTGCTTGTTTTATATTTCATAACGTTTGCAATGTACCCTCGGGCTTTTGAAAACCATAAAGCACAAGCTCAGGTGTAATCGCCAACAAATTCTAAGTTGTTAATGACACTTAATTTATTTGTAAGCAATTTGTTACGTTGGAAGATTATTATGTATTTTTTATCTGAAATACTCAACTTTTTATTTTTTTAAATTTTCACCCGACGAAAAAGTAATTAAAATTCGAACATGCATTATTCAGTTGGGTTGTTATTCCTTGGATTCAATGATGGATGAGATACGAAAAATATATATACTTGAATAGGAAATAATTGTGGTAAGCCACTTTTTAAATTCCCCAAAATACACGTAATGACATTTACATGCCAGTTTGTTATAAATTCTTAGATTTGACTAGAACGTCTCGTCGTAATTAATTGATATGGTAAAGACGAAGGTCAATGCGACTGGTTATTGGTCGATAAAATATTCCGTTTTTTCAAGCCAGAAAGACAGAAAACAACTTTCAATTTCTTGAAGATTATGCAGGCTATGGCGCTCATGAGTAGGTGTATACCTGTATACGTACGTAATATCAAATACGTACATACCATAATCCTTAAGCATCGTACCCCCCTCACCGGGTCTCACGGCAACGTTTTTTTTTTTTTTCTTTAGCGTTTATTAACTCGTCGCTATTCATCATTTGCATTTTCTAAGATTGCTGTGGAATAGTTTGGATAGCCTTGAAAAGGAAAGGTATCTTTTATCGATAAGAATAAAATTAGTAAATTACTTGAAATTTGTAATTACTAAGATTACTGTACCATACGATGACACATAATTGCGATGCTACAAATTGCCCAAAATAATAAGCCACGATAATGATTATTATAATTTTTTATAATTAATTTTAATACATACATGTCGGTGCTATATATCTCCTTTAACACTACATCAAAAGTAACTCAATTGTTCACACCAACTATTATTATTATTATAATTAAATGTTAATTGGCAGAAAGCTATAAATTAAGTCCAGCTACTCATTTGATTGTAACTTTATTTTAATACTTACATTTTCCGTCGGAAATACTGTTATTTTACTTTATTGCAAGTTAGCTTTTTTACAAATATTACAAATATTTTTTCTTACCAGACAAACATAAGTATATAATTTTTTCATTACAAATAAAAAAAATCTTTTTTTAAATCCATTGAAATAGTAGACTTATGTCGAGTACTTATTGCGATACAAACTGAGTTAATTGAAAATTGTTTGATTTTAGTTCAAATATTTATGGGCCACCACTTTAGTGGTGGTTATTGCTTCATGCCATGCAGACAAAAGAACTGCACGGGAAATTGACAGCTATTCACCGAATTTGGGTTTTAATGGGTATACATACGATCGCCCAAGTCAACCATTTCCGTACCCAACGTAAGTATTAGGTTCGAGATTAAACATTATAAATCAGCAAATGTTGAACCTCTTAGAACATTGTAAATTTTTCATATTTCAGAACGGTCTCACCAATAGAACCACAACCACCTAAGGAACCATCTAGACCACAGCCACCTCGTCCACCAACTCCACCAAAGATACCAATACCACCACAACGACCTCAGCAACCAAATCCAACAACTAGACCACCACCTGAGCAACCATCATATCCTACTAGACCTCAGCCGCCACCACAACCACCTAAGCAACCATCATATCCTATTATACCTCAGCCGCCACCACAACCACCTAAGCAACCACAATATCCTACTATACCTCAACCGCCACCACAACCACCTAAGCAACCATCATATCCTATTATACCTCAGCCGCCACCACAACCACCTAAGCAACCACAATATCCTA